AATCTAAAAGTACGACGTTAAGCTGTTAAATATTATAGTCGTATTAAGTTCTCACCTGATAATGCTCTCTGTGACAAGACCATTTGGAAAACCCATCCTGGCTTAAAAGCAGAAGACAGTGTGACTAGGTGCCTTTCCCTGATACTCAGAAGGTGTCTTGCGTCTGCTGGGTTTCCCTGATACTCAGAAGGTGGCTCTCGTCTGCAGGGTTTAATCGCCTTGTGCGTAACTTTGTCTTCAGCTGGTTTTTGCATGTAGCATTTCCATATACATTCCAAACACTTACCACTTTAACTTCCAGGTCAAGCCAGCCCTTCCCATCCAGTCACTTTAATGCATCATCAGACTGTGGAACCTATCAATTTTAAGCACTTTAGGGTATTTATATATGTAGCCAATTATATTTAATGGCCTCAATTTTCTCAGTCCTATACTTGGCAATGAGGCCCACAGGGAAGTACGACGGTCTCTGAATTTTGGTCCAAATTCTAAAATTACAAGGACGTTTAACTGGATTCCAAACAATGTTTTAATTCCTACCTTAAAATGCAGAATGAACACTGCTTTATTTTGTATAAAATAGATTTCTGAACCTGTAACCTGTTTTCGGACTGAATTGAGCTTTAACAATTTTCTCACACATATTGGAAAATGTTGCTGCGCAGTCAGGTTGAATCCTGCAATCCCTCCGAGAAGCAGAGATATGAATTACAGTTTCACCTCTTGCTGCTTATGGCATTATATTTCTCTCTAAGCCTTTAATTTCCAAGTATTGATGTTTTATTGCTAGACCAGCTACGCTGATAAATCGCTGATACCTGATCGTCTACCATTCAGCGTGTTGACGTACAGCAATGTTGTGCAATTCTGCCTCTCTTAAGTACATTTATCACACAGATTCAAGCACAGTCATGCCTCCTTGCTGATTGGGCAGCTTTGCACAAGGTACTAAAGGAAAGTTCCAGGGCTCCCATTTTGCCAGCATGTTCATGAGCAGGAATGGATTCCGGTGAAATGCGGCCTTTCAAGCTGAGAGCTCTTACAGCTGCTACTGGTAGCATTGACAGTATATATAATCGCAAGGGGACGGTTGGTTATTCATCCTGCTGGATGGCACTTTCTGGAAGTTCCCATATTTTCCCCTCAGCTTTATTTTTAACTTCTTTTAAAAAAGATTGTAATAAAATAACAGGCCTTTTATTGATTTGCATTGATACACATTGACTCCTGTAAAAATAGGAATGTTTAAATTGGTAATGTGTCTGCCTTTTGTAGCAGTCATTCTAAACCTCTATATGAAACGGCCGGTCTGAATTATTCCACATGGGGAAATGGAGGGGGGGGCAACAAAGGCTGCACTTTGTTTTTACCCACAGACCTGTGACATGGGGATTTCTGTCAGCATGCAGCCCTAAAGCTGCCACAGGGCACATGCAGGGCAATAATTGTAAAGTAGCATGGCTACTGCATTTATGGTTTAAAACAGAACTGCCCAAAACAGAACATTTAATTATTAATTCATTATTTTTGGGGACATACATTATATGGACAAAAGTATTGGGACACCTGGCCATTACACCCACAGGAACTTTTATGATATCCCATTCTAAATCCATGGGCATCAATGTGGAGTTGGCCCCCCCTTTGCAGCTATAACAGCTGTCACTCTTCTGGGAAGGCTTTCCACAAGTTTATGGAGTGCGTCTCTGGGAATGTTTGCCCATTCATCCAGAAGAGCATTTGTGAGGTCAGGTACTCATGTTGGATGTGAAGGCCTGGCTCACAATATACCATTATCCCTCCTCCACCATTTACAGTTGGCACAATGCAATCAGACAGGTAACGTTCTCCTGACATCCACCAAATCCAGACTCATCCATCAGACTGCCATACAGAGAAGCCCGATTCATCACTCCATGGAACACATTTCCGCTGCTCCAGAGTCCAGTGGCTCCATCTGACACTTGGCATTGCGCTTGGTGATGTGAGGCTTGCATGCCGCTGCTCGGCCATGGAAACCCATTCCACGAAGCTCTCAGCACACAGATTTTGTGCTGGGGTTCAAGCCAGAGGAAGTTTGGAATTCTGCAACAGAGTGCTGGTGACTTTCATGCACTATGCGCCTCAGCACTCGGTGACCCCGCTCTGTTACTTTACGTGGTCTGCCACTTGTTCCTGAATGCTTCCACTTTGCAATAATACCACTTACAGTTGACTGTGGAATATCTAGTAGGGAAGCAATTCACAAACTGACTTATTGCTAAGGTGGCATCCTATCACAGCACCACGGTCGAATTCACTGAGCTCTTCAGAATGGCGCATTCTTTCACTAGCGCTTGTAAACCTGACTGCATGGCTATGTGCTTGATTTTATNTATCACAGCACCACGGTCGAATTCACTGAGCTCTTCAGAATGGCGCATTCTTTCACTAGCGCTTGTAAACCTGACTGCATGGCTATGTGCTTGATCTTATACACCTGTGGCAATGGGTCTGAATGAAACACCTGAATTCAATTATTGAGAGGCGGGTCCCAATACTTTTATCCATATAGTGTAGCTCCAGGTAGTTGACTGCACTTTAGGAGCACTGGTAACTGTTAGGTAGGACCCTCCTTTTGTGTGCTTTGTGCATTGTTTTGTATAATGCATGATATCTGTAAAGATGATATCTGTACTTTTATGTCTCATAATATCAAGCCTGCTTTATACTTTTCCATTAAAATTGTTATACTACAGGAGTCAGGGTATAGTAATAAATTACTATAAATTGCAAGGAGCTGCCATCTCATTCTATAGATCCATCCATCCATCTTCTGACCTTCTCTTTAGGGTCGCAGCTGGGATAGACCCTGTCCTCGTATTCTGCCATGCATGAATGTACCTTTAGGCAACATTGCCATCTAGCGAACAAAAAATGATTTGCACTCATGTCTTTCTATCAACTAGTAATACGTGGTTGGTTATGTGAGTAGAAGTGCCATCTAGAGGCAGTGCAAAAATCAAGTTCACATAGATCTTTAGTGTGTGGTTATTGAATTCTCACACTTAATTAACATAAAGCAGTATGGTGGCTTGGAGGGGCAGCAATACTTTTTAGCTTGTGGGGACATTTTTCAGGTCCCCACAATATATACCTCAATCTTATAAAATAGATAGATAGATAGATAGATAGATAGATAGATAGATAGATTAAATCAATACATGCTATCAAAAACATTCTTGTATTTTGTTTGGTTACTTATGGTTAAGGTTAGGGCTGGGTAGGGGTTAAGGTCGTCATGTTGGTATTAGAGTTTTCTCCACAGAAATGAATGGAGAGTCCCCACAAATATATAATTACAAACCTGTATGTGTGTGTGTGTGTGTGTGTGTGTGTCTGCCTAAGACTTTTGTACTGTACTCTACATAGATATTATTTAGTATAACAGGTAGAAAAGCAGCTAAAGACATGAATATACAATCTTAAGATTGTTGTCTTGTACCCTCGGCCTGCATTGAAACTCTTCCCATTGACAGCTTAATACGCAGACAGTCCACTTAATCACAGTCTGTTTTTATATATGCGTATGTTTAACACTGGGAAATCTACCTATCCATCCATTCATCATTTAATCATCCATCAGTCTTCCGGTTGCTTATCCTGGTCAGGGTCCTGGCATTTAGCAAATTCTGTTGAATACTGTTTAATTGAATCCTTGTCTTTTTAACAGTTAAACAACAGCGATGATTGAGATGGTTCAGCAGTGTCGAATGAGGGTGAGAGGTGAGAGGGAGTAAAGTGTGAATCCATTCATTTCCTGTTATACATAATCACTGAGAATATAAGGTGGGATCCTTACACTTACCTTTGATTTCCTGTCCAGCACCTACTCCCTGTTACCAATACTCTCCACATCTTTGCTGAACTTAATCTTGACCTCAATCTTCCCTCCATGCGCTATGTTTGCTGTCTGGCCTGGTGTCAGTTTGTATGTACTTTGGTGTTATGTATTAAAGACTTTTACAGTCTAAAACTGCTCTATTGGGGTAATTTCTGTTGGAACATACAGCTGATTGTCAATAACTTGCATTTTACTGAGTTTGGGAGGTTATTGTCAGTTTGTTATACATGTTATCCATCTTCCAGTGAAGTGATTAGTTGTCATTGTTGACACACAACAATAAAATATGTCCACTGCCTTTAACCTACATGTGACACTGCAGCATAGCAGGGGCCAGCAAATTCAGTGCCCAGTGGCACTACGTTGCTCAGGGTAGCTTGGTGGTACTTTGCTGGTTAGAGATTCAAACCAGTAATCTTTCAATTACAAGTGCGCTTCCCTAACCATTAGGGTACCACTTATCCTAGCCAGGATTGTGAGACAGTATTTCATATTGCAGGAAAATGATTATGTACACATTTATGATTTTCCTGGCTGGAGAAATTATTGTTATGCACAGCAAGAAGGTCCTGGGTTCGGTCCCGGGTCCTTTCTGTGTGGAGTTTGCACGCTCTCCCTGTATTTGTGTGGGTTTCCACTGGGGGCTCCGATTTCCTCCCACAGTCCAAAAGTGTACAGGGCAGGTTGATTGGTGAGTCTAGATTGGCCCTGTGAGTGTGTGCACCTTGTGGTGTGTTAGTGACTGCCCAGGGTTGGTTCCTGCCTGCACCCCTTGTTCCTGGGATAGGATCCCGACATAAAATGGCAGCTAGCAAACATTAACCACAGACTTTTCTTGTTTACTGTGAATATCAGATGAAATGTATGAATATGAGAAAAGCACACAATGAATAAGCATAGGTAGATAGTTCAGGTCCAGAAAGTAAAAATCCAGACCAAGACTGTTACTCTTTATACTCAACTGGTTGGTTGAAACAAAGTCTTGGTCTTCATTTTTACTTACTGAACATGAACTATCCACCTCCGTGAATAAGTCATTTAAAAACTCATAAAAGAGGACAAAGTTCCACTGTAAGATGAAGTATGGAGTTCGGACTGGACTCTGGACCTGAGTTGGGTCACCTTCAAGACAGCTCACTTCAGTACAGATACGCTTACCCAGGTCTGTTCAAATCTCATTTATTTATTGTATTTTAATGCTCCGGTGTTTTCTTGTAACTTATCTCTGTTTCTCTGTTTAACATTTTACTCTAGCTGGTATTGCAAGACGTTGCTTTTGATCTGCTACCTTTATCATTTCCATGCATTTATCTAATATATCACCATAAAATGAACTGTATGTCCTATAGGCATATGGCACATAGCCTGGTTTTTGTTTAGAAAAATGATCTTCACAAGGCAGTCATGTGTAATAGGCATAACAAACAGTGCCGGGGGCAGCTTTGATTTACTCTCAGTAAGAAAGCTGAAGTCTGAGGCTCTAGTCCTAGCACCATTACCACCTGTCAAGTGACACTGAACCTTATATGCTTTGAGTTTCTGAAATAACATACAAGGATGTAAATAGAGAACACTGTCTCTAAAACTCACAGCTACAATTAAAGGTGAGGAGGTCTTTACAAAAGGTAATTAGCTGGGAGGCAAGGAGTTTGCTGATTGAATGGGGGCCGCATACTCTTCCTCTTTATTTCCTCTCCTTTTCAGGTAGTGCTTTTGTGTTTCAACCAAAAACGGTAAAAAGGATTTACATTTTAAGGCTTTGGCTTTGCTTCCAGTAGAAGAGCATTAACAAAGATTTGGATTAAAACTGCAGGAGAATTTGAAATATTTTTTTCGTTCACCATAAATAAAAATTTAAAAAGATCTGATTATAATTTGTGTCACAAGATATATCATCCCAGCATCGTCATCATGATGTGCACATATGCACAATAATTACATCGCAGCTGTCAGCATTGCTTTGCGTTGCCACAACCTGCAGCAACACGCCAACTTATCTGACACTCTCAGTTGGTGGATAACTTCTATTAACTATAGTTTATTTTGGGTAATTTCATCTCCTTTTCTGTTGTTTAAATATCGCAATATTACTCACGGAAATTTCACTTATTGCGATGTGATATTGTGCTGCCTTAATTATAATAGAAGATGTTAAATAACCTTTTTACCATCAGTATAAAGGCTTTTCCTTCTCTGACAGTCAGTCAGTCGGCTAGTTAGAAGGCGTTTTTGTTAACGGTCAGCAATGGTACCCTGTAGGCCTCGCTGGACCCGACTCCCTGTGAGGCCCTCTGGACATGACAGCATCTTCGATGGGCCCTTGGAATGCGAACCTGCTGGTTGCTGTGGTACTGCTGTGTGCCTGTACGTCTGCTTCAGGACTAAGACAATGTCTCCCGGTACCACGCACCAGCATGTCCGTGGATGTGAGAACATCTATGACAAAAGTCATGAAGTCGCAGCAAAGTTTATATCCGGAGGACTGCATCCAGGAATGTTGCTTGGGAAACACAGTCCAAGGTAACCCAAGATTGCCGCAACTTCTGCTGTTCTGTTAAGAAGCATCTCAGAAGCTCTTCAAAGACAACACACGGCCTCTGACTCGTACTTTCCTGCAGGTGTGAAGAAGTGCAGCTTGGTTGTGTACAACCGTCCTGTAGCAGGACAAGATAACTGCTGGTTATTTCACTGTGATAAAGAGACTGACTGTCCATTGAAAAGAACACCAGGGACAACAACCTATCTGCTAAACGGTAAGGGGGTTCTTCGCCAGGAAAACCAAATTTATAGTAAAGAACTGATAATAAATGTTATAATAAATGATGAATAAATTATTTGTTATATACCATTTAGCTAAATCAGAACACCTATCAGCATGCTTAATTTATATAAGGAATTATTTGGTAAAATAATTGTTTATTCAAGTCTATTTCTTTGAGTATTCATCTGCAATATGTCTAGTATAGTTCAAACTAGATGCTTTTGTTTCTTTTGTTTGTTTATATGCTCTCATCAACATGGACTATGAATTTGACCAATGAATCAATTGATCCACATTTACTGCTGAAAATGCAGAATGTGAAAATAATTGTGACATCCAAGTGTCCAGCATAAATTTATTTAATTTGAAAGAAGAAAACAAAATAAGCCTACATGAAGGTTTCTTACTAATACTCTCAGTATTTTCATTATCATTAATTTGTTTTAAATACAGAATCACACAAAATAGATAGCTTATGTGTTACAGTAATGCTAGTTGTTAAGAAATGTATGTTATTAGTAATTTTATTGTCTCCTTCTGATCACTCATTTTACACTATTTTACAGATTTTTTTACAATACCCCCAACTACCATCACCACCACTAGGAGGATCGCTACTAGCACCACAACGACATCGACCACCACTGACGGAAAAACATCCACTAGACCCACAACACCAACCACTACAACCACAAAACCTACCACAGCTACTAAAAAAATGAATACTATAAACACAACACCAACTACTACAAAATCAACCACTACTATCACAACTACTAGAAAACCAATAACTACAACCACAATGCCTACCACTACTATAAAAATACCAACCACAACTACCACTACTATTAGAAAACCCATGACTACAACCACAACGCGAACTACTACTACCACTACCACTAGAAAACCAACCACTACAACCACAACGCGAACTACTACTAGAAAACCAACCACAACACCAACCACAACTACCACTACTACTAGAAAACCAATCACTACAACCACAACGCGAGCTACTACTACTACTACCACTACTACTAGAAAACCAACCACTACAATCACAACGCGATCCACTACTACCACTACTATTAGAAAACCCATGACTACAACCACAACGCGAACCACTACTACCACTACTACTAGAAAACCAATCACTACAATCACAACGCAAACCACTACTACTAGAAAACCAACCACTACAAGCACAACACGAACCACTACTACCACTACTACTAGAAAACTCATGACTACAACCACAACGCGAACCACTACTACCACTACTACTAGAAAACCAACCACAACACCAACCACAACTACCACTACTACTAGAAAAACCGTGACTACAACCACAACACCAATCCAAAACACAAAACCAAAGACCACAACCAGAAAAAATGCCATTACAACAAAACAGACCACTACAAGCAAGAAAATAACCACTATATTCACAAAGTCAACTACTACCAGAAAAACAACCAGTGCTACTTCTCCAAAAAGCAGTCTTCAGCCTGGTGTCCCCGCCCACTCTGGGACATCACGTCCTACACTGGATGCGATTATGAAAGCCAGTGGCCTGCGGGGGGCGCTGGTTGCAAGTTTGATAGCTGGGGTGATGGCACTGACCGTCGTGGTCTCTTGGCTGGTTAAAAAAGCTAAAGAATCATATGCCCCAAAAGGGTATGCAAAACTTCCCTTTGATGAGCTGTTTTATGAACTATAACCATATGTTCACGAACTTATCAAGACTGCAAAAACCAAGTGTTTTAGTATCCTTAAGAATCTGAAAAATGTTTTCTTAAAGAAGTTGTTTTTTTATTAGTACAGTAGTCATTTTTCACCGATAGATATTTTTTAATCTTTGCTATGGAGGCGTCTATTTGTTTCCAAACCACCTCTGACTTCTGTCTCATTCTCGAAATCTCTCCCAGTCTAATGCACTGCCCCTGCTGACACATTAAATTTGATTTGAAGAGTACTTTCCGTTTAGTACTGTGTGTGAGCCTTTATTTGTGTACGAGTAGGGTAATCATTTTACTATAATAAAAAAAAAATACTTATTAAAAACATGTAAAGCCATTCTCGACAAGTGTAGTACTTTTACTCACCGCTTGATGGCATCATTTACTGCACTGCTTTGTCTAGCGATTGAATTGTTAACCGAATCACTCTGCTGTGTTAAAGTCAATATGGAAAGGAAAAATTAACTGTGGTGGACAAGAACAATGTTTTTTGTCACCTTTATTAATATTACTGGATACTCTGCAATCATAGTTTATCGGTTTATAAATTGATAAAATTATTTTTAGGATTCTTTCCAGTGGGAATAAAGAGAATAGCATTGTGTGTTGAAAAATATAAAAACGTATGAAATAAAACTGGGGTAAGGACCTCCAGCGAGCTGGCAAAAACTTGACAGTCGCGATCTGTCTTGTTGTTAAATAAATCAGGCTCATAGAGGATTTATGCATTTCACATACATGGCTCACTGTCACAAAGTCATTATGTTACAAAAATATATAAGGTGGTTTAATGATGTTGTGCCCAGGAGCAATTTTCAGTGGGTACTTAATTGCCTCAATAAGCATCTGGTTGTAAAAAAGGGGTTCGCTTTAGCGTCCTCAGCTGCTGTTCATACACAGTGTACACAGCTTAAGTGTTAGCCCTCGTCACAGAGTCCATGATACTTTACAAAATTACAGATAATTGTTTCCCTCCAACAGAGACAAAGAAAGCTCTTGTCACTTTGGATCATTTGTGAAAGGCGAATTTTATATTTGCAAAGGCACATCTACAAATTTTTAGCAAAGTTAAACATGCACTTAAATCAGGGGTGGCCAATCTTATCCGTAAAGGGCCGGCGTGTATGCAGGTTTTTGGGATAACCTTTAGGTCAGTTGTTCAAACCCAGGTGTGAGGACTCTTCAGCCAATCAGTCCTCTAATTAGTGACCTAATTAGGGAGTTGCAGTGAAAACCTGCATACACACCGGCCCTTTGCGGATAAGATTGGCCACTCCTGACTTAAATGATCTTTTCATCAGCTTTTTGTGTCATTGTGAAATCAAACACCTGCTTACACTGAGGTCCAGTCGTAGTTGGGCTGTCAGGCCTTGTAGATATATGTGAAGGTCCTTTCAACAAAACTCATTAGGCAAATAAATTCCGTAAAACAAACATAGATGATCTCTGACCCTGTGAACAAAAGTACATTATGTACAAGATTATTTCCATTGGCGGAACACCTATGTCAGTTTTGGAGGCATACCTACAGTATGTATCTCATTCCTCCTGGCTGGAACCCCCTGATCAGGAGCAGTACCACGGCTGACTCAACTTCCCCCTCCACGACTTTCCGGGGACCTGCAGGGGGCCAACACTGACCCCTGTTCCCAGCCCTACTAAACGTCCTCACACCTAGCCAGCTATCCTGAGAGGGGACACATCTTCAAGTGCCACACAGGATTCACTGCATTTTTCAAAATCCAGTTATCACCCCTGTGAGAGGGACTCATGCAACCAAACCCACTATCACTATAGATAATTAAATCCAGACTATATTTTCCCCTCACTTATTTCCATAATATGTGTATTTTACCTGCCTATATTATTCTATGCAGTGTACAGACACAACAGGCTGTTTTTCAGGTACATTACACTCAATTTCAATTCACAAATAAATTCAAGTGTGCACAAGTAACATAATTATTATATAAAGCCAAAACTGTTCTATATTGTACTCAGCTGAATAGAGATAGAAGAGAATAGTGATATTTTATTAATTCCCTTTTTGAGAGCAAGAGTGGGGGTCATGCAGCATCCTTGGGGCGGGGGGTTAAGGGCTTTGCTGAAGGGCCCTACGGACAAGCGTCTGTTCTGTTGAAGTCAGGGCTCGATCCAGTGACTTTCAGATCACAGGCCCAACAGCCTTATCTCCTGAACCACACACCACCACCCAAAGCTGAACTCTGCCTATACCCCACAAAATGCTACATACTACACCTCCTTTTGATGTTCAACAGGTGGCTTGCTGCACGGTAATTCTAGACAGTGGGCTCAGGGTTTGCCTTTGAGCTGGGGGTGTGTAGTTTGGCCACAGCCCTCTCCTCCCTAATTCCTTGTATTTCAAGACTGGCCTCTTTCATTGGCTTCCAGTATCTTTGCTTCCTAATCTCAGGTGTCTGTTTCCATGATAGCTGAGATAAGCAGTCAGCCATTTGAACTTATAATTTCATGTAGCCATGGTACTAAATGGAGATTCAGGATTAACTTTCACAAGACTTCAGCACAAAATAAAAACTAACACATGGAACGAGGCAAAAACAGAAATACACCTTTCTGGTACCATCAATGTCGCTCTTTTTCAGTTTGTTAATTGTTTATACAACCAGATACCTAAACGTGTTTTGATAAAATTCCCACTGAGCTTTAACTATAAGTCTTTTTCCAGGAAGCCAATCCTTAACCTGTTGCTTACCAAGTTATAATTATTATATATTGGCTATTTTATTATATTCTGAGCTTTTTCTGTACTGAGGTAACTTATTAGCTAGGTCACAGTTTGGTAAAATAGCATAAAGATTGCCTCCATTTCAAGATGCTCTTGAAATGTTGCTTGTTGTACTTTCAAAAAGTTTAGAAATCTGTCCTAGTGCATTTAAACATACGTGCAATTAAAGAGTAGACGATTTTGAACGGGACAAAAATATTTATTAACAATAAAGTGAAAGGCTGTTGTGAATTCGCCAGATGCAAATGTCCTGCATCTGGGGGAGTTTCTATCTATTGGAAAGATCAGGGTTGGCCAGTGTTGTCAAGTTTACCTTGGGCTCACCTAACGACGCCCATGAGTTAGAAACAGAAATTGTGCTTTTCGAGATAAGTTTATTTATTAATAGACCCACAAACTCCAGAAGGAGATATAATCCCTATGAAAAAAATATGGAATATCGAATCATATTGTTTTGGATATAAACCGTGTATTTTTTTGTTCAGTTATTATCAAATTATGTAAGAATGTAAACAGCACACACAAATGTTTCTTCTTCGGTAGAAAAGCACAGACCTCGCAGTCTAGCGCGGGTCACAGAGTATGTGTTGTTCCAAGCTGGAGCGTCAATCATGCCGTGAGAAACTAGTCCCTCTGGAATGCGTTACTGCGCTTCCAAACAATTGTTACGGAAAGCGACGCATTCCTGCCCCGGATACCGCGGGTGGCTTCGGCTTCTTCGCCCGGTTTTATTTCCAACATTACGCTTGTTCCCCAGGCAAAATCGTCCCGCCGACTGCACGCGCAACAAATCCGTGATAACAATAGCTGACCGTCGGTGTTTTTTTATTAGATAGTAATAAGGGGGGAAAGGGGGGCAGGGTTGGCATTTTTTCCACCCTTCCTGGCGGAAGGAGACAGTTCGAAAGGCAGCGCGGTCGCTGCACTCTGTCAGCGGCGTGAGAGGATCGGGAAGTGCGAATGGAGCGACCGGGAAGCGGAGCGGCATTGTGACCGGACCGGAGCCCGAGTCGCAGCGGAGCGAAGCGGATCGGAGCCATGAGATCCCCGCGCTGACTAGGAGTCGCGGGGCCAGCGCACAAAAAAGGGAGAAAGATGGGTGCCCTTTTACGGACTCTGCTCTGCTGTAGTTTTTGTTCTCTAATGCGAGGTAAGTTGTTATGCTCCCCCTCCCCCTTTGAAAGTTAGGAAAAGGCTTTTTAAAAATGTTTCTAAAAAGAAATAGCAGTTTTTTCCTTTTATTTTGCAAAATACCGCACGTGCAAACGAATGAAGGGCCATTGTGTAAAGGATATGTTTAATTACGTTGATTGCATGTACTGTTGCACACAGAGTTCAGGACGGGGAAATGCGGGATTGCGCGTGCTGGCTGTGTGCGTGTCCTCGGCGCTGGTGTGGGAACTGCGCTCGTGCCTTAGAAGCCGCGTATATCTTTAATTTTTTCCCCCACTGATCTTATAAATGCAGAAAATACGTGTTGAGGTTCCATAGTACATGCATAGAGGGGATGGGGAGTGCCATGTCCCCCCTTTCGTTATGTTGCAAAGAGAAACGAAGTTCGTGTGTCCGAAAACGGTCTTTTAAATGATGTTTCCATTTAATCGATAGTTACCGTACATACATGAGTGATACGGTGATACCGTTTTAAGTTAGACATCGGCGTGACTTTTTTGTCATTAAAATAATTTAAAGTATAGTAGCGTGATTTTGGACACATCTTTGTGAAAGCGAAACTTTTGACATTTTGTCATCTGAAGCGACCGTGTAGTTCTTGACACCTTTTGTTCGTTCATAATTTGTTCATTTTCATCCGCTTGTCTTCGTTACTTGTTTTGCTTGGCAGCCCCGACTCGCTCGCCCTGCACTTTTGACGGGCTCTTTATTTGCACAGCTGCCTGCTCCCCGTCTTCACATTTATAAGTGCCGCTTTCCGCGCAGACCGCAGATCCTCTCTTCTCCTCCTCCTCCTCCTGGGATGCCAGCTCCTAGTCATCTGGTCCCAGTCCCGTAACCACCACGCCTCCCACTGACCCAAACCGGTGATTTCATGATTTGCCGTACGTGAGTGTATTGGGCAGTTTTTTCCCCCCATGTACGCAGATGAACAGTACTGGATTATAATAATCCATGATATCTGTTCTACCTATTTGTTACTTGGGTATATTAAAATGTCACAAGTTATGAGTACAAATGAACATTTATCACTTTGGTTAATAACTGTGCACTTTCCTGTCTGGGATTCGTTTTCTCAGACGTTTACCCGAATTTCAGACTTTAAGTTGTTCTCGTCTCTTCTTGTTTATACTTGCATATAAAATGTTAATTATTGCCGGATGTTGTGCTTCACTTTGTTCTGAGGAGTAGCTTTTTCTTTGAAAGTAGATGCATGAAATTGAAGTTTAATACGATGTTTATCTTGTATGTGTGTGGGCATGAGACACACCTGGTACTGAATTACCAAAACAAATTGAACACATCTGGTTACTTGAGGCTGTCCAAATTCAGTTATTGTCCAGCAGTTTCTGGGCACAGTTATAGGTTTTGAGGTAGAAGGGACCCCCCTCCCTCCAAAGTTCAAAGAGCCCTGGATCGGACTTGTTGGAGAGTGTTTGTTTTGGGATGATGATGATGATGATGATGATGGAGTAGACAGCCAGTTCATTCTCACTTGCCTTTTGCCACAAATAGGCAAATTGGCCAAAATGTCTTCAGTGTCTATCAATTAAGTTTTTTGTTCAAGATCCAGTCACTAAGTTGAGATCCACAGAGACAAATAACAAAGAAGTGATATACAGAGACACCACTGAGATGTTATGCAGGCTGAAATTGCCGTGTTTCACGTCGGTCTGATTTTGTTGTACTGTTGCAGCCTTGGAACATGCGGACATCGCACGATAGGCGCCTGCTGGTTTGTTCTGTCGTTATTATAATAGTGTTAAGTAGTGCACTTGTAACTGGGCAGTCATTGGAAGCTCAGTCTAGGTCACTCCCGAATAGCACGTATGTTTTAATGTTCTATTTGCCTGACTTGTACGTTGCACTAGGCAAAATCATTCGCCAAATAAAAGTATTTGTGATGTATTGCAACTCTTGCAATAACTCTGACTGCAGTTGTATCCATGATAATTTATCGTGACTGAAATGCTTATCGCTACCACCACTGACCCCAAACATCCCTGTGAGCCAAGCTGCCACCCTTCTGCCTGTTTCGTTGCCTCTCCTCTTGGTACCTCTGCAGCAGTTTGTTGCCTGCGGGCCTTACACCGGCCCGCCTGGTGAGGCTCGGGCCCGCATGCTCTCAGTCCGTATGGTGTCCATATTTCCACATAATATTTACAAGGCAAGAAGTGCCATTAGCCCCCTCTTTGATGTAAAGAACAGAGGAGGTTGGGGGAGGGGCAAAGCTCAGAATTATTTTGCGCTGTTTTAAATATGCACCAGGCATCTGTGTGTCGTGCGGCCTGTGCTGTGTCAGTCCTTCCTCACCTTCCTGCTTGAGGATCTCTGGAAGCGATGAGCCGCGGCTCGCTTGCTTTTTGGACCGAGTTTGATTGTGTCGGTATGAAGTATGATGCCGTGGGCCTTATCCTTGCTGCTTAGTTCCCTAAGCTTGAGCTTGATTTATTCTCTTTAATATAATAATGTCTGTGTATCATCTGGGTGCAGATTTGTAATGACTTGAGAGCAGTGTCAGGCTTTGGGGATTTGGGTGAATTACTGGGGGGTACTTTGCTCCACCTCTGTCCTGTGGAAACGGTCCAGAAGAACACTTTGGATGTGGTGGTATGCAGATGGGTGTAAAGGTGCTGAAGTGTGTCTGAATATCTCATTCATTACATTCACTTGTATTTCATTCACTTGTCGTCCTGTTGTCTATCAGTCTTGTCTATGTTCACTGTCTGCAGGAGCACATGCAAGCAAGCATTTTATTGTACACGGTATTCGTATTTGTTCACATGACAATAAAAGAATTGAATTGAATTAATTGAATTAATTCTGCCTTGAGTTCACTTTGCTAGATGGGCTGACTTTCAAACTTTCAAGGCATCCTTTTCTGAATGTTGTCGGTGATAATGGATGTTTAACTGAAATTGGGTGCCTTTTGGGGAACATTGATCGTCTTAGTCCTTTTACTACAGATGACAGTAAAATGTCAACAGTTAAAATTGTATTCGGTTTTGACAAGAAATTTTGACTCAGCTAAGTAAATTAGTTGAACTTCTCAGACATTGTTGACCTCTCATTGTGTTTTTTTTTTCTTTTTGCCAGCTAGTCGAAGTTAGTTGTCTTTTCATTGTAGGCCTTTCCTGGAAATATGCTGTTATTTATTTGTGCTAGTGTTTGTTCAGTGACTGTGCACAAATAAGCAAAATTCAGTGGTATAGGACCTTTTGGCATAGTCAAAATGCTTTCATCCTGGGGTGGGCAAGTCTGCTGGGGGGTTAGGGTGAGTGAATAATTCCGCACAGCGTTTCCCCGCAGCTAAAATAGTGTGGCATGCAGGAACTCCTAGAGAACGCCCCCGTTTCCCATCTCTGGTTCTTCCTGACTCTTCCCCCTTCTTCCAGGTGAACCCCTCCTGCTATATGCCAATCGGCGGGACCTGCGGCTGGTGGATGTGGCCCAGGGGGGGAGCAACGCCACCGTGCTGGTGAGCGGGCTGGAGGACGCAGCAGCTGTGGACTTTGTCTTCGCCCAGAGCTTCTTATACTGGAGCGATGTGAGCGAGGAGGCCATCAAGCGGGCCGCCTTCAACTGGTCGGGGTCCTCTCAGCAGAGCACGGTGCTATCGGGCCTGCAGTCCCCAGATGGCCTGGCCTGCGATTGGCTGGGCTCCAAGCTCTACTGGACGGACTCTGAGGCCAACCGCATCGAGGTGGCCAATCTGGATGGGTCGCTGCGGAAGGTGCTTTTCTGGCAGGAGCTGGACCAGCCGAGGGCCATTGCCGTGGATCCCGCCAGAGGGTGAGTGTTGGCGCTTCGGGGAGGAGGTAGTGAGGGGGTGTGTACTGTGTAGCAGCTGACCTCCTGTCGGGCTGCAGCCAGGTGGAACTGCAGGTCTCCCTGGGGGGGAGCCGTGTTAACAGAGCTGGTGGCCGAAGGCCTTGAGCCATGCAGATCCTAGTGTCTGTGATGCACAGCCCAATCAGTGAGGTAGTGAGAGTGGAGGGGGGGCAGAATGGGACCAGGGTTAATTGAATATTGTTTGAATAAGGACTGGTGAAGTTCAACTAGTAATTCTGCCTGAAATGTCCGTGCCTAGTATCTTGTCATCCTGTCTCTTTAGGTATTTTGCTTTTTCTTGTGTCACTGGACTATTCATCTGTCTAGATTGCTGTGGTGAGGGTTGCCTAGTTCTGGAGATGATAGCCGTGGAAATGTCAGTCTTCTCGCAAATATATTGGGACTGAATGGAATTCTTTTGGTGATTAAAGCACCAAAGAATACATCTAAAAAATTCAGCAGCTTTTCTCTTACCAGAAATCATGCTGTTGAATCCTTCAAAAGTATTCTTTGGAACTTAAATCACCACAGAAAGAATGACATTCAGGCCCATTATATTTGAGAGAAGACTGACATTTCTACGGTCAATATCTCCAAATCTAGGCAACTATCACCACAACAATCTAGACAGATAAATATCCCTACTTCAAATGTGAAACATATGTTTCTTGATTTTGGCATGAACTGCCATTTCAGGCTTTGTCCAGCATATTTTCTGAGCTTCAAAAAGCACAGCTTCTAAAAGTTAATAAGGGAAGTATCCTGAACGTGTGTTATGTGCTCAGCGAAAGATGTGGTAGAAGCTGTTTCAAGAAGAGCCAGGCTGTGCTAATCTTTGAAATTCTAAGACTGCACCGAAGATGGATAGAAATTTCTAAAGGAAACTGTAGAAGTTAGAAATAAGTTTGCATAGGTTGACCCATACCTATTCACATTTAGATGTCCCAAATCTTAATTCATAAGGATATCATTCCTGTTTCCATAGCCTGTAATGTGAGTGTTCTGAGCATAGCTGCAAGATCTGTTTAGCAAATGGCGAAGGTCTACAGATGCAGTATGACATTGACATGGTGCATGGCTGCTCTGATCATTTATTTGAATTTCTTTTGCACTGTAAGGGAACCTCAGTCTCAGAGTCAATGCTCAAAACCGGCATCAGATCTAATTTTCTTCTTTTTCCGTGTGTACTTTTCATTATGATGTGGTGATGGGTTTCTAAGTAGGCCACATTCACATTTACATTTATTGTAATTTAGCAGATGCACGTCCCTTCGGTCATGAGCAAGTGAGGCAACATACCATCTTGATCAATAGCTGACTTCACTTATGTCCTGAAACGATCGTGGAAGTTTGCCAAAAACTTTTTCGTTGTGTGTTGGTCTCACTATGCTGGTAACGGTATTAATAATGTCTTCTAAGGTTACAACCCCTTTATTTTGGCACAGAGGAGTTATGGCCTAGTACCAATGTCACATCAGGACATGTGTTTTTAACTTGGTCACCTATGTAAGGGCTTTGTCTACGGGGACCAGGTGGTAGTCACTAAATTCATACAATGCGGCGTTGGGGAAGCATACAGTTAAGGATTTGGCCTCATAAAATCAAGGTGTTTGGTGTAAGTATACCAAGATGAGCTTTATAGTTATATATGTCAGAAAAGGATCTTCATACTGCAAACTGCTTATCCAGTACAGCAGGGGTGGGGAACCTGTTCCATGGAGGGCCACTGTGGGTGCGGGTTTTTGGGATCAGCCAGTAAATAAAGCAGTGGTTCTCAAACTCCAGTCCTGGGGACCCACTGTTATTTGCTGATTGAGAGGCCATCCCAAAAACCTGGCTCTCCATGGAACCGGATCCCCACCCATCGCAGGCAGTATGGGGGATTAGCCGGAGGAACCATACTGGGTAGGATGCCAGTCCATTGCAGGATACACACATGCACTGGAGTAACTGGAGGAAACACTGGATTCAAACCATCAGGTCGGGTCAGGTTGGGGAGCATGCACTGGTATCACATTGCTCCCACCCACCACTCAACAACCCCCCCCCCCCCCCCAGGCCAACACACGGTCCAGTTCCACCCTCAGAAATGGCTGTCTATCAGCCACAGCCAGGTGTTATGTGAAGTCCCCTCGTCCTGGTCCAGCAGTTTGGGTGCTTAGCAGTGAGGATCTTTCGAGCCAGATCACCCTCAAGGAATCACGCCACATTGGATTAAAGCTTCTGTATAGCTGCTGCTAAATGTGAATTTGTACCTAGATCAAGCAGTTGGGGCCTGGCGGATCTGTTCTTTGTGTTCAGTGTACATCCTGCTGCATCTGTGTTGAGCACAAGATCTACTACATCCTGTAGGATCTGTCGCACATGAAAATCCTGCTGCATCCTTTTTGGTAATAAAACAGGAAGCAGTCAGCCCCACCTGACCTGTTTGACCTCGTTCTTTGAAGATTTAGGACTGAATGATTGGGCTGTATGATTATGGGTAAAATATGAATAAAATATGAAGATGATCTTCATGGGCCGAATGGCCTCCTCTCGTTTGTAATTTTCTTATGTTGTCAATCAATATTGCAGTTGTCTCTTACAGTTCTTGGGCAATGTATTTCTCTTATTATGCATTACATATTGTTTTTATGAAAATTCATAACATATCGGTTAACATTAGACAAAAATATATCCGTTATTGGCATTAGTGAAAATGTTCATATTTGTGCACCACTAACCCTATTATCGTTACTGAAATGGAACTGTCACATCAACTTTGCAGAACAGAAAGGGTATAGTCCTGGTTTTTAACTACTCTTTTCCAAATGCAAGAAATACTAAACATGAACTTAAACCTCACCTGCTCTTTATTATAACATCAGTTATTGGCTCCCTTTTCCTGTCATGTGCGGTAACGCGATCCTATGATTTGTTGATACAGCTTAGGGAGAAAACGGATCTTCCCACTAATGCAAACAGAACACAATCGGTGTCATGTAAGAATGAGATCACATAGGGGTGTGAATCGTTATCACTATTCAGAAATTATTAATCTTGCTGTCCTAGTTGAAAGAAATGTTGTGGATGGAAACTGAACAGAAATTAACATTTTATCACTTCAATAACTGCGGACTTCTGAACTTGTTCGTGGTTTTACTTGCACAAAAATGTTCTGAGGGCAGAAGGAAAAATGATTGGTTCTCTCTCTGAGCCAATCAGACTGTAGAGGAGGTGGGTCCAAGCAACGAGATGAGGCAGGACCTAGACATCTGATTGGTTATGTTTCCTCCTGCCCTCAATGTTTTTGGGTAAGTAAAACTCCCATGAGCTCTGAACTCATTTTACAACAAATACAAACAAATAATAGTAGATGGATGAAATTTGCAAATTACAGTAGATTTGTCCATGCTGGATTTCACAAATCCAAACCATTTCCATGCACTCGAAGTAGAACCTTGTTTTGGAACCAACTCTTTATCATTAGTTATGCCACACGCTGTTTATTCAACAGCGGAAATGATCCGTCTGTGGACTCTGCGCATGACACAAGTGGAATGTGTTTGAGTCTGATGGTGCACATAAAGTTTTTTTTTTTCTTTGGTCAAGTTAGCTAAGTGGTTATAGGGGGATTAACTCTGGGTATGTACAAATCAATTCCTGGTAAACCCTACTAGTCATTAAATTGAGATCCACTGAGGTGGATAACTGACAAAGAAGTGAGATACACAAATGGTACTAAGAATGTATGCAGGTTGAAATTGCTTCGCTTTATATCGGTCTGTTTTTGTCTGAACTCGCATGTGTCACATTATAGGCACTCGCTGATTTGTTTTATTTTTATTATAATAGTGTTAATCAGTGAACTTGTAACTGGGCAGCCATTGGAAGCCCAGCCTGGTCGACTCCTCAACAGCACATTTGTAATGTGCTCTTTGCTTCACTTATACATTGCTTTGGACAAATGTGTCTGTTAAATAAGAGGAAATGCGGTGCTGTGTATCGTGCTGAAGTGCGTACCGTGGATACAGTTGCATCCGGACACAATAACTTAGTCTCATTGCCCACTATGACATGTCACAAATAGGGACCAGTAAATCCAGGTCTAGAATGGATACTGACTTGCACTCTATTCCCCTCGATTAGTTTGATAGTCCTGCTTTACTGCCCCCCCTCCCCCTCCTGGGGGAGCGCATGAATCATGCACTTGATAAAGCCGTCCAAACATGGCTGACCATGTCTGCCAACCCTATGTGTTTTATCTGCATTGTTGGTGAGGTCTGCCGACAGTGTTGACAGCAGTGGCTCGTTGAGTTCAGGGTCGACGCCCATGCGTGAGGGTCCTGAGCTCTTTATCACTGCTCCCGGGGGTTAGGCCTCCTCATCTTGGCCTGGCCTTCTGAGAGCCCTGTATCGCTTTACATTCCTACACAGCCGCCCACATGGGTACGACATGGCTGGAATTGTTGTCTGGCTGCATGGAAGGGACGTTGGCTTATACAGGCTACCGTTTGCTTAATTAAAATAGGATTGATTTGGGAATAGTACTTGCACTGGGACCACCATTTCCATGTGGGTCATCTTCCTGGTTGCCAAAGTGCTGTTACTGGTGAGGAGCCAGACTCAAGCAGAAGGTTGTTGGTTCTTGGTGAGCATCTGTGGTTGTGTGCTCCAGCTCTGGGGTGGCTTGGATGAAACATGCCACAGTGTAATGATGGGCAAGGTGTGACTGAGCGGGGGATTAAAAATGAACTCATTTTTAAGCTGTAAAAATAAAACCTCATAGTGGGATGTTTCTGGAGTTTCTTGGGGAAGTTCTTTGTTTGTGTTTGCATACCTGATGAGCTGTAACCATGGAGTCTGCTCTATAAACAACACTTCATTGCTGGTCTGGAGAAGGGTTCAGCTCACTCCTTCTGGTGTGAATTAGGCATCTTTCAAGCCAGGTTCCAATATGATGACTTTGTTTTTTGTATCAA